GTGGATGCGCATGCCCTGTTATGCACTGGGCCATGGGTGACCGCCACACCTACACAAGGAGTTATGTGACAACATGTGACTCCTTTATAATTCAGGATATCCCCTTCTTCCTTCCCTTCATAAATACAACAGTAGCAATATATGGATCAAAGCAGGGATATTAGGGGGAAATCATCAATTCCTGCCATAAAATGAGAGTGTCAAATTTTCAGATACCTCTACCTGAAAGGAAAGAGAACCAAGACCAATATTAGCCTTGACAAAGTAGCTCAGCTATCAGGATCACAGTGGAAATTTGGAAGTTACACCTTGAAATAAAACAATGATTTAAAGGGCTTAATTCCAAAGCAAATGTTGGCGCCTGGAAACAGCATTTTTCTATCTTGCGGAAAGAGCTTATGTAAATATCCCAATGTTAATTTATGATATTCTACAATAGATTATTCAAATTTCTTTAACCTGTACTAAACATGGAAAGAAGTTATTGCTCTGTAGCTAAATGTGGAATCAAGTGCCACCCAACCAAAGGTACAATGCAGTGGTGGGTTGCTCATCCCGTTCCAACCGGTACGGTTGGAACGGGGCCAGCGGCGTCCCGTGCACGCGCGCAGTTCACGCATGCATCTTAGCGCTTGCGTGATGCTTCAGATGCTCACAGAGAATCGCGCAGGCACTGTATATGCCATGCGCCGGCGTGGAAGCACAGAAGCCTTCGAAGATCGGTAAGGAGCGCAGGCGGGCGGGCGGGCCCTTCGGCGTTCCCGGAAGTTACTTACATCCGGGTTCATCGACCAACCGGTCCGCGCGGACCAGTTGAAACCCACCCCTGGTACAATGTTCAGATCTGCCCTGTAACTACTTATTTTGCCATCTTAAAAAAATCTGTCTATTATAAATTTCCATGCCTTCCTGGGGAATTCTAAGTTACAAAGAGAGAGACTTTTAAACATTCAAATGTTTCTTAAAAGGAGAGTGTCCTGGAGAAGGGTACCAGCTGTCCACTGCTGCTAAATTGCTAATTTAATAGTTGTGTGAATGACTTTGGTACAATATCATGCTACTTAATATGTGTAGAGTGCCATCTACAGGGAGACATTGGCAGTTGTGTAAATTGTTTCCTAAGCAGCGTATTTAAGTCAATTCCATTCATAAAACAAGATGTTCTAAAAAGCAAAGGGTAATTTAATGAAACACAAGCAATGTCCCGAAATACAAAGGATTTTACAAACTGAAACTGCATCAGTGGAAGAAACATTTTGTCAAAGCCCAGAGGATTCTGGGATGTTTTTTATCCTCTTGAGTTATAGTGAAGAAAAAGATGCATCAGTGTGGCATTTTTCTGAGTATTTAGCAATATACAGCAATACAGTAATAGGACAATTTGACAGTGTGTATAAACTGACAAGCCACAATGAACTCATATATAGTGTTTCCTTTTAATTCATAGATTGGTTGGGGAATTGTACAGCAGCAAAATATGTCATGTAGATCAATAAGTGTCCAATGTGTTACTACTTTCCGTATTTCTTTATATTAGGATACACTTTTAGAATAAAGAATAACAGAGTTGGAAGGGACTAATTTTGAAGTTTCTAAAATCCCATTTAGCAGGTTAAATGAACCAAGAGAACATCAACAGAGAAGATGAAACATGTTCGGTTGGTAGAAAATATACTATTATGTTCAACATTATGTTTAAAAAATGAATTATATTATGGCATCATCAGTGTAGCTATAATAGAGTCTCATGAACATTACAAAAATGAACTATGATTAAACCCTTATAGAAACCTTTGATAATGACTTCATTTGACATACTGACATGATTTGGTTTAAGACCAATGTCTAAGTGAGTTTAAGGATCATATATAAGAATGTAACCCTAATACAAATAACTCAACATATGGGCAAAAGCATTGTGTTATTAGCCATATTGCATTTACTCTTGTTTTGTTTGTAATGGTTTAATGGTGGATCTGTACACTAATACAGAAAGAACTAGAGCTGTTGTAATGAAGTAGTGTGTTTGATGACTCTGAAGAAAAAAAAAGATGATTTCTTAATTTTTTATATAAATTATTTTTCTTCAGAAAGCAATATTTTTAACAGCTCTTACTATAATTTCTGCTTGAAAACCTTTTTTGAAGGACATAATTAATAAAACCTCTTATTAATATTGTCCTAAATTAAATTGTTTCCATTTTTAGTATCATCGACAAGGAAGTGGCTTTAATGACAGAAGTCGACAAGGTTAAACAAGAAGCCAGTAAGTAGAAATTAACATTAAAACGGCCAAGTTTATTTCAAAAATAACTTTGAATGTCATATACATTTCAATTTGGCCATAAATTTCCCCAGCTAATATCACAGAGACTGAAGAATAATTTGGTTGCTGTACATTCAATAGTTAGGTGTTTGGAACTTACCATTGATTGGAGAGTAAACAATGAAATAAATATATATATATATATATATATATATATATATATATA